TCTCTCTCTCTCTCTCTCTCTCTCTCTCTCTCTCTCTCTCTCTCTCTCTCTCTCTCTCTCTCTTACTTCGTTGATAATCGCTATAATTATAAATACGAGTAACGTGGTAACGTTGTGGAATCCTGCGTATCTTGTGATTTGCTGATATTGTAAATTGGCAATCTCAATAATTATCGATTTCAACAAGTACACTAGTCTTGTGAATCACCTGAATCGAATTAGTGCTGATGTCTTCGAGGTCGTCGATCGCCACCTTCTTCATCGCGTTCGGCTTCTCGGCAAACTTTCTTTCCTCCCTCACCTGTTGCTGATACTGTTGCGGAAACTGCTGAGTGTACTGGGGATGCTGCGGTAATGCCGCTGCTTGTCCCAAGACAAGTGCGATCAAACACAACGACACGTACTGGATGTACCACATTCTGCAATAAAAAATAAAAGTATTCGTGTCGCTATTGTTGATCATTTATCGCCTTTATAGAAAAGATGTAAAAGTACGCTGGAAATTCGTTCGAAGCGCGACGCCTCGATTTCAGAAACACAAGCGAGGAAATATGTGACGCGCAGTCACAATGATTCAGAAGAAGGGGAGGAAGAAAAAGAAGAAAGTATGCCACGGAATGCAGCCGATACGGAACGATCGGTACATTCCAATCGAATCTGTTGGCAGCCGAACGACAGATGATCCGCAAAGTGGGCCGTGATCTTCACCTTGATCGCGCAGAATGAGATACGGAAGAAAAACGGATGAAATCCGTATGTGTCGCGGGCGTGTAACGTCGAGCCGAGAAGAACGGTGCTGCTGAAAGTGTGCCACGGTTGTTAAGGTCGTCTCAACGGCAGCACGACGATCGCGCTCGTTAGCCCACTTCCCGATCGGCTCGACGGTGCTGGTTTGTTGAACCCGACAGATACCGTTACTCCAAAAGGCGGTCACGACCTACTGTCGATCGTGAGGCGGACCGGTTCTCGGTCGTCCGCGGAAAAAAGAATCGATAGAAGAAAGCAACGGAGGAAAGCGGCCGAGTCGATCGTTCCTTAACGTCTCGGATGTCCTCCAAGGCATCGCGCGCGATATGACCGGGAAAAATTACACTAAGAATATTAAAAAAAAAAACGGTCAAGTTCGGTCGAGCTCTCTGTAGAATATATTTCAATATCAAAACCACTTCGACAGTTCTCTTGTTCACAGTTTGACACAATCTTGAACACGAACGCTTTATCGGGTCCTCTTGGAACACTAAAGGAACTAACATCGATAAATTCCACAACATTCTGAAGAAGCGAACAGAAGAAACCCAAATTCTCACCGGTTCATCGGAATAGTATCGTAAATAAAAAATAATTACTAAATAATATTGAGATGAGAGGACAGCGGTGAAAGCAAAGAGGGATCCTCTCACCGGCGACGAAGCGAGGCGCGCCTTTGGAAAACGGTACATATCGCGACGAAAAAATCAGCGAACGAGTTTCTAACTGTACCTCGTACATCTGCGAAATATCTCTTCTACCCGTAACAGACTTTATCGCGCGGAAAAGCATGCGAGAGACGTTTGAATAGCGCGAAAACAAAATGAAAAAAATTATTCGTGCAAACACATTAACGATAATAGGTGTATAAAATGCTTATGTTAAGTGTTTAACGAGGACAATTTTGATATTTTCGTGAGAGAAGCATTTTTAAGGGAACTTATTTTTCAATGTTTTAAACAGCTTAAATGGATGAGGAAACAAAAGTTGCAAATAACTATGATAAAAGCATCACGAGGGAACAATAATCGTGGAAAATTTGAAAGCACACAATTGTAATTATATGTATATGAAATGCAAAAGCTGTAATAAACGAGTGAGAATAGTCGATTGTTGAGACACACTCGATTAATAAAAATTTAATGATACGATCGACGTCGTAATTTATCTTCTCCGAATGATATCGAGGCAAATCCGAAAGTAATTGTGTTACTCACTTGTTTACCTCCAAGGTGGACTTCCGTGACACTGACTCTCAGTTCTGAAGATGAAATTCCACGCGGGTCTTCTATATAGCCTGCGAGCACACGTGGGGGTAAACCGTTCGGCCAATGACCACTCATCTTTGCTACCATTTTCAATGGAACTATCCAATCGCACTGAGTCGATCGGCAAAGATTTCGAAAGGTCTACTTATGGAGCATTTTTTATAGTCGGACTTTGCGACCGAGAGGAGGTAACACTAGCGACTTTGTGATACATAGTCAAGCCTTGATTATTTGAAATTGCTTTGTCTTGCTTGTATAGCGCGTTTTATTTTTAATTTTTTTCCTGCAACAAAATGTGCGTGTGTGTGTCTCTATATATATATATATATATATATACACACATATATATATGTATGTATGTAGGCATGTATATAAATGGGGCGCGCGGCATACGCGCTTATTATAATAATATTTCTTACATTTTACTCGAACGCTCATCCCGCCAATTGTCAAAACGTTTCCAACTAAATCCAAAAGACATTTTATTTTGTGTCGTATGTATCCAGAAAAGCATAGCCGGTACAACAACAAATCATTGCTCTATGAAACGACGAAATAAATTTCTCAAGAATTTTTCCTCGTGACATTGTGATCTCGCTCCACTTTGCTTCAGCTCCAGTGTTTTCGCCTAGAGATCGCGTAATTCAAGCGCGCCTGCTCGTCGCAAAAGTGCGGCAATCCGTCATAACTGTTTCAGTAGCGGGATGCTGCATCGGCTCTTCTTATTAGGAGGATCTCGCTAATCGCGCTCTAATCGCGCGAGGATCGACCTGCCGTCGTCGCTGCCAGATCGGGATGCACTTGGCATGGTTCGCGGCAAGTTCAGTGAACGTATTACGAGTCGCGGATGGATTCGAACGTAACGGAATCGGCGAACGACCTTCGCGGATGCGCAGGAAGTTTCGCATTACTGTGCTCGATCGGTCGCTCCGAACACCAACGAGCGGACCTTGGAGCAGTGCGAGATTGCGCGACCTAGGTTCAAGCCAGAACCGAAGTGCATTCTTCGACGCATATCGCGCGCACGCACGATCCTTACTTTTTCTTACTTATACTTATATTCACTCGCTCGCGTCTCATAACCGAGCATCTGTAACATCAACCTGTCACTAATCCAATTATTGTATCCGCAACCGTTAAGATGGATTATGTCCGGATTACGTGTCGATGAACAACGCCGCGAAAGCGGCACTTGCTGGCAAATGTTAATGAACGCGTTCGCGGTATTATGCGCGACGACGTCGCTTACGGAAGCGTTGCAAAAACGCGCCCGTGTCTTCTAGTCAGCCGTAACACGCTCTGTTTGCGTGCGATGGGTTACCCTCATTTAGGCTCCGAGTTTCTAGGCTAAGCATCACCCTCCGAAAATGTCTGTTTTCGTGGCGGAATGAGTCACGCGATACGTCGCACGCGTACTGATTCATTAAGTACTAAATCAGGAGTATCGACGGCACCACAAAGTTCAATGAAACAGCTATGTTGCTCTCTGCGAACAAGCGACAACATGTACTGTGTGGAAATCTATTCCGCAGAATTATTCATTCGCGATTTTGCATGTACTATTTCATTACATTTACCATATCAATACAAAAGTATTGAGGCAAGGCATCAACGATCAATCTCGAATCCAGTCTTTTCTCTTAAAACGAGAATGTTTTCGTAAACATAACGCGAATAACAATTGCGCGTATAATGACTGATAAAAAATCATAAATAGAAACCAATTTTTATTTCAGATACAGGACCATTGTGTGTACGCGCGTGCACGAGTAATTACCAGTCATGTCAAGTGAATGAAAACCAGCCGCATTAAATGCTTCCGATACTGACCCAAGACCTTGAAAAAAAATATCATTTCTACAACTCTGACAATTTTCTACAATTATTTTTGCTATATTATCATTGTACTGTTTAATTAATCGCCATCGAATGAAATCAGAAGGGTCCACGTGTAATGATTTTCCACAGGCGTTCCCGCCTGCCCCAGCGAGGAGCAGCAGGAGAGTAGCCACTACAGCTATTCGACACAGAAAACCTTAGCTATGTAGCGGGATCGGCACGTGGCGAATTTACATACACAACGTGCGAATACGCGCAACTACCGCCGTTCGGCAAGACGAGATCACGCGTCTTGATATGCAATTAAAACGTCATGAACAAGAAAAAGAAAAAGGACCAGGCCGCGCAGCCTCCGCGAACCGACCTTGCTTGAAAATACGGGATTTGATTTCGTCAGACGTATCTCTTTGCCTCCTGCTGCGGAACCGGATTCTCCCGTCTTACACAAACCATCGTGTAGCTAACAATCCTATCACCGTGAGGTCTCAAGTATTGGAAATGTAAATGTTATAATAATCTAAATATACGATCTGGAATGTGCGATGAATTTTGAAATTGCGAAATGAATCGTGAATTTCCCGACAATTTTAATAAATGATACCTCAAAATCCTCGAAAGACTAACATATCATAAAGATGTACGGTTTAATTGTAAAGAGCGTATTTTCAGGAAATGAAAAGGTTATCATCACTCGAGTTGAAACGTAAAAATAACAGCGCGTCTATTCTCCGTCGTTGAGTCGTGCTATTTAAAGAATAGAAAGATTATTCTGTCTGTCATTGAGGGAAACATACAAATATTAGATTAAAAAAATATTTTACTTTTATCGTCCAGTTGTGTACTGCATAAAGATAAAAATGTCTAACTTCCTAGACGGCACAAATGTCCAAAATCGAGTCATAAGACGTCTTTAAAGCAAATTTAAGACATCTTTAAGACAATACTTTATAAACTTGTCTTAAAGACAACTTAAAGACGTCTTAAAGATGTCTTATGTCCCACTTTCATTGCTGTCTCGGTTGTTAGTCAGTGTTGTAACGTATCTATGTAAGATACTTGTATCTTTTTGCAGTATCTAGATACTTCTTGTGTATCTATGGCCGCGTTCAGTAGAACAAGTGATCAGTAAGCGCTCAGTGAGCTCTTGCATCTGATTGGAGTATAGTTGGAGATCTAAAAGAATATGCCAAATCATATACAAGAGCTCCCTGAGCGCTTACTGATCACTTGTTCTACTGAACGCGGCCTATGGCTGCGTTCCGAAATTCACTTTTAGTACTGAAAATCTATAATTTATGTCACGTATACTATAGAATTTCAGCAGTGAATTTCGGAACGCAGCCTATATCTGTATCTAGTTATATCTTTTATTTCAAAATCTGTATCTGTGTATCTAGTTACATTTTATCTCGTATATGTATCTAAATTTATCATTTTAAATACAGATACGAAATAAAATGCAATTTTGGTGATTTGATATATAATTGTTACTTTTTTACAAGAGACAAAGTTGTTCCCATGGTGTAAGAATATAAGGTGATGCATTCCGGTGGATGCGCAATAGCTATCAATCAGAAAGTTACCACGTTATATTCTTACATCATAGTTGCTTTACTGGGTGCGTTCAAAGAACTCAACAGTTGCACAACAATTGAATAATTCGTCAATGTAATTGGTTTAGATTTAGGGATCTAACAGTAAAAACCAATAATCGCTGATTGCTCACTGAGCAAAACTCACTTTTTCCGCTGAATGCGCCCATTGGGTGGCATTCAGTACTACAACCGCTCACTGAGCTTTGACTATATAATCATGGACCACTAGCAGCGATTCTAATGACTCCTGCACACAGGACGCGGTAATGCTTGCCGCGCAGCAGAAGTTCACGCGACAGCCAATCAATATATTGCTTTCCGTAATAATCTTTTCGCTCTTACGAAAAAACAATATATTGATTGGTTGTCGCGCGGACTTCCGCCGCGCGGCAAACATTACCGCGTCCTGTGTGCAGGAGCTATTAGCGTCTGTCAACATCTGTAGCACCGCCAGAACCAAACAACGGCAAAAGAAGGAACTCAGTAGAGCAAAACAGAGTTAGCAACGTAAACGCTTCTATTGGCTCCTGCACATAGGATGCAGTAATGCTTACCGCGTGACGAAAGTCCGCGCGAAAGCCAATCAATATGTTGCTTTCCGTAATAACCTTCTAGCTCTTACGGAAAAACAACATATTGATTGGCTGTCGCGCAGACTTCCGCCGCGCGGCAAGCATTAGGGCTATCGCACACATTGACATAACTGCATATGCATAGCATAAGACCGTATGTACCAATGAGCATCGAGTATTAAGTCGCCATATTGGTGTTCGATGCTTAATATTCGATGCTCATTGATCCATACGATCTTATGCTATGCATATGCAGTTATGTCAATTTGTGTGCGATAGCCCTTACCATGTTCTGTGTGCAGGAGCCATTATTGTACATAATTACCCGAAAAAGAACCAGGAATATTGAAATACTAGATAGTACACCAAACGTGCCTGACGGTACTTCCACAGTAGCGCTTGAGATCGATATTTCGGCCGAATATATGATTTTTTAATATTTAATTAAAATTATCTGGGTGACTTACAAACCTTTTTAATGATACTTCATAACTCTGTGTACGAAATACAAACGATACCATACCGAACCTTTGTTTAATTTACCTCCGGTCATTATTTCCGGCTAAATACATGGTCCAAAAAAGAACAATTAATTACAAGTAATAGAATAACTCACAAATCTTTTCAATTGCACTTCAAAATTCTTCATACGAAATACAAACGATTTAAAAGAATAGTTTTCCAACCGGAGTTTTTTTCCGGTCAAGTACATACAAATCACAATCTCGCATAAAAACATAATACACAACGCATAAGGAAATGAACCAATCAGAGTCCTCATTTTTATTGTCACGATGAAGATGAAGGACTCTGATTGGTCAATTTTTTATGCGTTGTGCATTATGCCTTTATGCAAGAGTATATACTTCCCGCTGAAAGGCCCTCACACATGAAATGACATAACTGCATGTGCATAGCATAAGACTGCTGGACCAATGAGCATCGAGTATTTAGCCGCCATATTGATGCTTGATGCTCAATAGTCGATGCTCATTGGCCCATACAGTCTTATGCTATGCACATGCAGTTATATCATTTCATGTGTGAGGGCCCTGGTGTACGTAGCTGGAAAGCACCCATTGACGGAAAGCGAGAGAGGGGGAGAAAGAGAGAGAGAGAGAGAGAGAGCGTCAAGAGGTTAAGTTGTCGTTTTCGTGACAGGCATTTTTGCAGCGTTTGTAACGTTGTAGCAAGATCGTGCAAGACGACGGATACGAGCAATTTAAATGGAGTGCTTGATAGGTATTCAGTGCAAAGATTTCGTGCTGGTTGCGGCAGATATGACAACCACACAATCCATCATTGTTATGAAAAATGGTAAAATGTTTGATATACATTACAAACGTGATGGTCGGCAATTCGTATCTAGATATGATTGAACAATCTCCTTAATATTCTTCATGTATATCACTACATTATATAGTTTATCTGCTCTAATTGTAAGAATTATTCTAACAATAAATGATATGCTCCAATTTTTCAGACGAGCACAAGATTCATAAAATCTCCGACAAACTTGTTATGGCAATATCTGGGGAGTCGGGTGATACGACACAATTTTCCGAGTACATTGGAAAAAACATTCAACTGTACAAAATGAGGAATGGCTACGAGCTGTCTCCTAAAGCAGCTGCTTGCTTCACCAGAAGGAATCTGGCCGATTATCTCAGAAGTAGAACTCCGTACTTTGTCAATATGTTGCTGGCTGGATACGACGACGATGCCGGACCCGAATTATATTTTATCGATTACTTGGCATCCTGCGTGAAGGTGCCTTATGCGACTCACGGATACGGTGGAATGTTCTCCATGTCTGTCCTAGATAGATATTATAAATACGGTAATGCTCTTCTACATAATAGAGCCAAGGCTGTAATGTAAACAAAACTATGTTCCCAAGGATGTATAGAGACGTTAATTAAAAATAATTCTCAATTGCAGACTGCACCGAAGAAGAGGCCTATGTGTTATTGAAGAAATGTGTTGAGGAGATTCATAAACGGTTGATCGTCAATTTACCAAACTTTAAAGTTCAAAAAGTATCTAAAGATGGTATAAAGAATATGCAACCAATAACAGCTGAAAACTTGGCTGTCGAAATTGTTGCTAAAGCATAAGAGTGTCTGTCTCTTCTTTACGTATAGGAAAAACTTTTTTTTTAATATAATAATAATAATATAATATCTAAATATAACAGCAATATACTGATCAATTTTTCTTTTCTGAATTCCCCCCAAATAAGACATTAAATTTTAAGAGAGTAATTTCTACACTTTTCTGTACACATTAACATGTATAAACAATTTACAATTACAACTTATCACTTGATTATATTATGATCATGTAAGAATATATATAACTGCAATTTAATATCTTATATATTATTAGTAAAACGAGAGATTAAAAAAACAAATATATATATATATATATATATAGAAAGTTGGTTTCTATTTTTGCACAAAAAAGCGTAACAGCAAAACTCATCAGATTGGATGACCTACAATTGTAACTCGAGAGAGAGAGAGAGAGAGAGAGAGTCGTAAGTACTAAACTTTTTTTTATTTATCGAAGTTACAATTTCTTCCAAATTCCGCCTAGCCAACTTAAAAAGATTGCAATTTTATCTTATATATACATTGTATTCACAAATCAAAATTTCGATACTATTTATTGTGTATACTGACCGTAATTATAAATATACATCTGAATTTCATTTTTCACAAATAAATAAGAAAATTCGCGTTTACGTGTAGCACAGTTGTACACACTTGACATGTTTCTTATGACGATTTTAACGTGTGTGTACAATTCTTCTACACATATCAATTCGTTTAACACGTGCAGAGAGAAAGAGAGAGAGGAGAGAGAAAATCGCTTTTCCATCTTCTCCTATTTTAAATTAATAATCTATAATTATCACTCACAAATGGTGGTAAAATCACCGAAAATTCTGGAATACCAGTAAAAACTTATATGCAACTGGAACTGATTCTTTAGAATACAAAACGCACCGTAATGCACTGCAAAACTCAAGTGGATGTACAGACAGCAGAGTCTGTCGTATACACGATTGTATATGAAATATAAATTAACAATTGGAAGTATATTCATATTCATATTCTACTCTACGCTATGCGAAACAATGAAACTTGGTATTACCGTTCCACACAACGGGTAACGGTGTCCTTTTCCCTCACCAGTGTCTCATATCCGTCGATGCCACACACACGAGTGATAAAAATTTCTTCAATATTTTATTAATCTTGCATGCAAATGAATCGCTCGATTATCACAATCTTTCTCTCGCCAAAAAAAGGCTTTCTCTTCTTACAATCGGAACATGCAAATTCACCGCGGGTTCGAGATCACGCACGTGATCCTATGATTTTTACACTGTGAAGCTGAAAGTGTGTATGTGCATACACACACACATATATGTATACACACACACACACACACGACGTATACATCGAATTACTTCGCAGTTCACGTGCATGCAAGCAAATACACAGTTATACGCTATTGTACTTTACAACGTATGATTGTACGTCTTGAGCGTGAACCATAAACTATTTCTGTTTTCGTCTCTTTCCAGTAGGCGCGATGATTACGGCAGATAATTACAGCACGATAATAACGTCGAGTTTCTCATCACGTATGCGATGAATTGAAATAATTATTTATCCTTTTTTGCGTCTACTTGCGTCTGCTCCGACTGTTGCGTCGTATTTGCTGGCTGCGACGGATGATCCTCGTATCTATAAACATCGACGTGCGAATGTAGATGAGAAAGAGATTTCGGCGAAGAAACGTGTATACTTACGAAAATAATGCCTTGAGGTCTCCCTTTACTAACGCCAATAGCAACGGTGTGCCCAAGCACGCCGGGACTAAATACAGTAGAGCAGGTTGTGCGTGGTTAAATAGGTGCATTATCATCATGGTCGCGAGTAATCCCATAAAATACGCGAAAAACGTCGAATAAAAGTAGACATTTGTTTTCCTGCTCAGGCTATTATCGAATCGTAACAGCAGGGCGATAAAGATACCAGGCAGTACGATGTCGCCCAGGCCTAGCATGGCGAAATTGCCGGCGCTCAAGCCCTTCTCCAGGAGATCCTGCGGAAAGACAAGCTTGATGGGCACCTCGAAGGACTTTGCGACGGTCACCATCACATCTGTACCAAACACCCAGAAAGCGTCGTAGAAGAGGAGACCGCACAACAAAATGCATCCCGTAACGACATTATTAAGATGCAACAGTTCGACTCCGTTGATCGCGAACGCGATACCAAACAAGTTGTTGGCTATCCAATGCTGAGAACAGAGAGAGGAGAGAGATATATATATATATATATATATATAAATTTCGTATGTATAGATTGTTTGCGCAGCAACTGACACTAGACTGACTGTGCTCACCTTCTTCAAGAGGTACCAAGCCCCCACAAGCGAGCAGCATATAAGACAAACAATGTCGTGCGAATTAAACTTGTAGTTAATTATATGCTCTTCCTTGTCATCTTTTCCTCTAGTGAACAAGATGTGGTACTGTGTCTTTGGAATTGCGGCAGGTACCAACGATGAGATTAATGGGCTGAAATGTCCCAACTTTCAAATATACCCACAAAAATAAACCGAGTAAAATTTACCTTGTAAGATGGCACAGAGCTAGAATGCCAAGACAGAAGAAATATCCAGCCAATATCAAGTTTACATATTCCTTGGCAAACACCTGCAGAGAGAAGTCATGTGGAATAGTATCATGTGTTCGAAATTGTACATTTGGGCTACATTACCTTATATAATATATACATGCTGACTAACGTAACACTGGAGATAAAGGGAAACATAGCAGCCTCTCTGCGGGACATTGTATCAGGCTGCTCGCCGCTGGCTTTATACTGCTGCTGCAAGAGTAACGTGCAATCTTAGAAACGCATCTTAGAACGATGGAAATTGCCATGTCGTTGTTATACAGCTGCACGCCGTTACACTTAATTGACAATTCATTCGACCGTCAATATTAAGGAAAGTAATCGGACGCGCTTGACGTTTGAGGGAACAGCTGGCAGTTACGGAAAAGTTGCCAAAAAGTTACATGCCATCGTCGACGGGCAGATTTTGCAACAAGTATTCGATAACATATGTGACGAAGCGTGCTACTAACCTGCTGCTCCTTGTGATGTCTGACGGCGCGATAGCTGCCGAAAAAGATGGGCAGGATGGCCATAATAATAAGACTACCGTATGCGATAGCCATCCCTTCAGGAGTCGAAGGCATCCTCGCGTTCGTCACATTCTGATGCTCGGTGAGATTCTCGCTTGCCTGAGCCGCGATCTCGTTTATCGTGCTTGCCATCTTGAATATGTTGACGCGACAAGTACGCGAGAGACACGACTCCACACACAGACTGGGGTACAACCCCAGTGCAATGAAGTAATATTCAGTGAAGAAGCGAAGAGGACGCATGTCAACTATCGAGGCACTACTGTGCCATCTGGTGCCCTTCTGATCAGTGATGGAAACATTTTATCCTAGGCTGCGTTCAGATTCCCCACCCAGATGTATTCTATTACTAGAAGTGCTATAGTATATGTCACATATATTATAGTGTTTCTAGTAATAGAGTGCACCTAGATGAGGAATCTGAACGCACCCCTAAGGAACCTCGTGCGCATGCATTAGGGCTATCGCACACAATTGACATAATTGCATATGCATAGCATAAGATCGTATGGACCAATGAGCATCGAATATTAAGCATCGAATACCAATATGGCGACTTAATACTCGATGCCATTGGTACATACGGGTGTATATCAGTTGGACACGGGGCAATTGGACACAGTCCAATCACAAGTCGCTGTTCCAAGGGACCCTACAAATGTCTCTAATCACACGGTGCTGTGATTGGCTGTGTCCAATTGCCCCGTGTCCAACTGATATACACCCGTATGTACCAATGGCATCGAGTATTAAGTCGCCATATTGGTATTCGATGCTTAATATTCGATGCTCATTGGTCCATACGGTCTTATGCTATGCATATGCAGTTATGTCAATTTGTGTGCGATAGCCCTTAGTTTACGTCACAGTACGTCATGAGCCTTGACAGCATATATGTAATCACAGACTTCTATACTTCACCAGAGAGAAACCTGAGAGCGGCCACGCCATACGTTTTGGCCGACACCGATTTTCACGCTGTTCGATGCGCCATCTACACCCATTTTTTAGGTGGAACTACGTTCTCTACGCCCATTTTCAAACGCTACCGGTAAAGTGTCGATTTGTTGTATGTCCATTCTATGCCCATTTTCTGGCAATTGGTGTCCGTGTTAAGCGCATAATTGCGTGATTAAAAACATGGACTGTCCATGTTCTTAACCATGCAATTATGCGCTTAGCACGGACACGAATCGCCAGAAAATGGGCATAGAATGGACACGCAATAAATTGATACTTTACCGGCAGCGTCTGAAAATGGGCGTTGGGAACGTAGTTCTGCCTCAAAAATAGGTGCAGATGGCGCATCAAACAGTGTGAAAATCAATGTCGGCCAAAACATATGGCGTGGCCGCTTTCAGGTTTCTCTCTGCTAAAGCTAAGGGTGGAGTCCCATGGTACGTATTTTCGCGTATCGCGTAACCGCGTAACCAATCACATATTTCTATTCTTTTAGAAGTTCCAACAGAAATACTATACGTCGCAATTTATTGGTTACGCGCTTACGCGGTACGCGGAAAATATATGCCATGGGATTCCACCATAATGGCTGCGTTCAGCAGAGAAGCTGCTTTGCAACTATTATAAAATTCGTAAATCTGATTGGTATGCTTTTGGATCCAACCAAAATTAAGAGCATACAGCAATCAGATTCACGAATTTTATAACAGTTGCAAAGCAGCTTTCTCTGCTAAACGCAGCCAATTGGTGCTTTCCAGTTGCATACATTGTGTTACACAAAACCAGTTTATTGGTTGCATGTTATCTTACAAGATATTTTGTGACCAATAAACTGGTTTTGTGTACGTGTGTGTCAGGATGTGTTAAACAATTGGAAAGCACCCAATGACTCTTGCCCACAGGATTTTAAAGCATATATATATGGAGGGGGAATTACATATGCCTCCTGTAGACCAAAAGTGTATTCAAGAACTATGCGAAAGAGAAAGGTATATATTCCTATTCCTCCTCTGTGCGCATGCGCCAACATGCGTCAGTTATTGCTGGACTACAAAATTATTAGATTCAATATTTTTTTACTTGAATTCTATCAACTTTATCGAAAAATAGCAAGAGATCAAAATTATTTATTTTCTTCTCATAGAGCACGGAGAATTTTTTCAGAATTTTATATTAACTTTTTAGTACTGCATTTTTTACGTTTTCTTGCATTTTCTTGAAGTACTAGAAAGTTAATACAAAATTCTGAATAAATTCTTAAAGCTCTATGAGAAGAAAATAAATAACTTTTATCTCCTGTCAACTCTATAATCCTAACCTAACCTGTCAACTTCAACGCATGCGCACAGAGGACGAATAGGAACGTATAGCTTTCTCTCTCGCACACATCTTGGGCTGCGTTCAGATTCCCCACCCGGGTGTATTCTATTACTAAAAGTGCTATAGTATATGTAACATATACTATAGTGTTTTTAGTAATAGAGTGCACCCGGATGAGGAATCTGAACGCACCCTTGGATACACTTTTGTGCCAGCATTCCTCCTCCATATATATATATATATGCTCTAATGGCTTCTGCACACAGGACACGGTAATGCTTGCTGCGCGGCGGAAGTTCGCGCGACAGCCAATCAATATGCTGCTTTCCGTAATAACCTGCTAGCTCTTACGGAAAAACAACATATTGATTAGCTGTCGCGCGGATTTCCGCCGCGCGGCAAGCGTTACCGCGTACTGTGTGCAGGAGCCAAAAAGCACAGGACGCGGCAACGCTTGCACACGGCGGAAGTTGCCGCGACAACCAATCAATATGTTGTTTTTCCGTAAGAGCTAGAAGATTATTACGGAAAGCACCATATTGATTGGCTGTTGCGCGAACTTCCGCCACGCGGCAAGTATTGCCGCGTCCTGTGTGCAGGAGCCATAAGGCTTCGGATTTGCATCGCCTGAGGTTTCCGGTTGTATGCGAGAAAATGGCGACGATCCTGTGTGTGTAAGGTAGAGATACCCGATTCTTAATCGATTCGATTCTTTCCCTAGCAAATTTAGGGAAAAATGGTTGTTCGTGCTGCATGTATGTTTCATACTTTTCGCTTTTAAAAATAGATAGACGCTTAATCAGACGCTTGGAAGAAACAATTGAGTTGGTTGTCTCGTTTTTGCTTCTTCGAAATATTCCAATATACTTCTGTCTAGTTTTAAATACGAAAAGTGCAAACAACATGAATAAGCCTATTTTTTGGGAAAGAATCGAATCGATTCAGAATCGGACATCTCTAGTGTAAGGTCGTTTTACATTAGTTGCCAGTCGATTGCAACTTTCGTTGCGAGAACCAATCAGAAGCGTCAATAGTACCATTGATGCTTCTGATTGGCTGGCGCAATAAGAATTGCGTCTACTTGCGATCGGCTTGCAACTAATGTAGAACGATCTTGACGCATGTCACTTGTGTATCTTACAACGTACAAGTGAGTCAACGTGGCCATTAAATTACTGTCGTAAAGTAAAAAATGCCAGCATCTTATCAAAAAATGTCGCAACAAAAAAATAGATGGTATTGGACGTTATTTGTTCTGCTCATTTTCAACAAAAGAATTTTATGACTAAACGTAGTGAAAATATGTGACGGTAGCGGTCATTTTCTCGTATACACCGAAAACTCTATTAGACGCAAGCCGTGCTATGCTTTTAGATAGCCTGTTAGCAATCTAGTTTAGTATAGACATCTGTGCATCTGTGAGTTCCTTAACAGTACATATGTCCAGGGGACATCCAGGGGTGCGTTCAGATTCTCTACCCGGGTGCACTCTATTACTAGAAACACTATAGTATATGTTACATATACTATAGCACTTCTAGTATTAGAGTGCACCCGGGTAGGGAATCTGAACGTAACCCAGAGTAGAGATGCCCGATTCTGAATCGATTCGATTCTTTCCTCAAAAATAGGCTTATTAGTGTTGTTGTACTCTTCGCACTTTTCGTATTTAAAACTAGACAAAAGTATATTGGAATGTTTCGAAGAAGCAAAAACGAGATAACCAACTCGATTGTTTCTTCCAAGCGTCTGATTACGCGTCCATCTCTTTTTAAAAGCGAAAAGTATAAAACATGCAAGCAGCACGAACAACCCTTTTTCCCTAAATTTGTTAGGGAAAGAATCGAATTGATTAAGAATCGGACATCTCTAATCCAGAGTATATCCTGAGGAAGTTCTAAGGACATTTTTTCGTCCTCAGGACATCCTCAGGAGATTTTATGCTATCTGGGTTTAATATAGACATCTGTGATATATTCAAAGAATCGTCACTAGATGGAGTCTTGGCGCAACTCATAATAGCTGCGTTCCGCAGCTGAAATTCACTGACAGTACTGAAATTCTATAGTATACGTGACATGAACTATAGAATTTCAGTACTGGCAGTGAATTTCGGAACGCAGCCAATGTCATCTATAATAATTCACTGTCGTGAAGAGAAAGAGAGATCGGGCTAAAATGCATCCAAGACAAACAGTGATACCATCTAATGGCTCCTGCACACAAGATGCGGTAATGCTCGCCGTGCGGCGGAAGTTCGCGTGACAGCCAATCAATATGTTGCTTTCCGTAATGACCTTCTAACTCTTAAAAAACAACATATTGATTGGCTGTCGCGCGGACTTCCGCCGCGCGGCAAACATTATCGCGTCTTGTGTGCAGGAGCCATAATACTAGCCTGAAGGAAAACTGTAAAGCATAGTTTGTATCAAAGGAACACATCAAAGATACAATAACAATCAGCTGTTTTACAATATTGCATCATCTTATTATTAGAAAAGGTTGTATTTGTAAGCTCTCTGATAGAGCGTCTTTCCTCACTACACATTTCTCATAATTAATCATCATTCGTGCCTTTCGTACTTACATAGAAAATAGATCTTTTCGAGGAGCTTATTTAGAAACTATTCGTACAGATCTAATATCTCACACTTTCTTGCGTCTTATCACATACCACGATCAATTCCTTTGCTCTTTTGCAAGTAGGCAGTTTGAATGTACATCTGTTTCACGTTCCGAATGTTGAAAATTATAAAGAAAGCACAGCGCCAACACGAAATAAATCGTGAGATACGGCGTGAAAGCGTCGATTTCCGAATAAGAGCGCCCGATTTCGTAGATACGCGCGCACGTGCGCTCAGGTCGACGACCTGCAGAGTTATGCAGCAAGAGACGGGTGAATGATAAAACGCTCGATGGTTTCTGAGT